TAAAACAGTTCTCTGAAAATGGTCAAGTACAAGGACTGGACTGAAAATGAGTAAAAAAGTAATCAATGTCCAAAGAAAAACCCGAAAGACCTTCAGAAAGCCTGGAGACTATTGCTCTAGAGCACTTTGAAACGTTAGAGAAAGCGAAATACAAAGAAATCAGGTGGCTCAAGATCTCGGTGCACTCCTTTATTTTGAGGACCTATTCATTAGAAATCTGTATTTAGGACTACTTGGGACCAGGTAGACTGAAAAATGTGGACTGGAAACAACAAACCGGGGAATGCAAGCTTGCAAACAGAAAAGGTGATATCTGCTGACTGTATGTGCATGCAGGCACACCGGTGCTCGTTATGTCAGCTTTCATGGGGAGGAAACAAGAAGTAAAACCAGATCATTTATAAATATACACTTCCTTGTGAACTGAAACTTCACTTTAGTCCAAAAGCTAGATGAACAAAACCTCTGAAAACTGTGAAGCTCATCTGTGAAAATGTGTGTGAGAGAAGAGCAGCAGTGATGCCAGGGGACAAAAATCACACTGTTTGTGAGATCGTTAAGAGAAATGCGTCACATTGAACCCTGCCTACCCTAACCTGTGTCACTGACTTAAAAAAACCCACACATATAGATATACAGACACACTCACACACAGACACACACACAGACACACCTACACAAGCCACAGACGCATGTATTCACACACTTCACGATTGCCTGGAACACAGTGCACTGGGAGCTGCAGTGTATGCCATCATTCTGTCACTCCTCCGACTCTGAGCCACTTTCAGAACACCAAAAGCATTTCTGGTCCTGCACACGATGCTATATTAGAGCTATGCAATCTGATGTGGCCCCTAATGTTGAGGCGAACCCAACTGAGATTTATGCATTTGCAGCAAAGCTAACTAGAGTAACAGCGCGCTCCCTGCAGAGAATACACCATCCTGAGACCAGTTCAGACATAATAAGAGTGATTTGGCAAAATGATACTAACAATACAAAGAGCTTGTGCCAGTGCTGTGATCACAGTTGAGGAGAGAGAGATCACAGTTATTTCCATCAACTTATTTTTTAAACTCAGTTCACCTCTGTGATCTGTGGGGGGAAAAGTAATTTCAACTATTCCGCTAACATCTGTTTGGCTGGCAGGAAAATTATGCTGGCAAGCTGCAACACAACAATATGATGGGTAGAAAAGCTCTGCAAATAAACCACAAATATTTCTGTGCCTGTCAAATTAACATAACTCCACCAGCTCGCTCTTTTTTAATGTCACATGTCTGTCTGATCCGGTCCAAATTTAGTCCATCTTTCCTGGAATAAACAGAGTACAGCCATGAAACCCAGTGTTTTAAAACACTGTTGCTATACGGCACAACAGCTTTGATATTTGGTTAAAATGTAACAGGCTGTCACAAACACTTGAAATCATCCACGTTTTCAATCACATTCTACACTGGATTAAGCGTCTGTTTCATTTATGAATATCTAAGGTTTGATTCTGTCACACTGTTTGTGTTGCATGGCGACCTTCTTCCTGCAAGCCTGTGGTCAAAGAAAGCATGACACAAAGCGAGAAGGATCTCAGTTAAAAGCTGCTGGTCGTCTGAGGAGATTGTGAAGGTGTTGATATGAGTGTGAATGGTTGTTTCTCTATGTGTCAGAGGCCATGCACTGGTCCAGTACCCACTGAGATGCTCCTGACCCTATCTGTGATAGAAAAAGGGAACTGAAGAAATGTCCTTTTACTTCTCAAGCTAATTAAGACATTTTTATCTAAAGGTCTTTTCAGCAACTTGAAAAGATGACTTTTAACCTCTCACTTTTCAGACAGATCTACCAATCATCCAAGTCAACCAGTCATTTTTTCAATAAGTCTTTTGCCATGTTGGGAAGTTTGATTGATTGACTGATTGGTCTGCTGTGCTCCGGGATGGAGAGGAGAGACCCAGACTGACACGAACTGCAATCATATTGTTAGCTCACAGTTCAGTAATCAGTTTTACACACACAACAGCTACTGAAAAATATAAACCTTTTTTAATTAGCCGCTGAAGATGGATTAATGCTTTATAGCATTTATGGTTGGGTTTGGCTGTGAAAAGACGAGTGGAGCAGGATGCTCAGCGTTTGTCTTTGCAGCAGGAGACTCTGCAAAGTCATCTTTAAAATAACGACCAGGAGGGAAAAAAAAGAAATGTCTACTTAGAGGCAAACTGATTTTATTGTAATTTAATGCTTCGCAGTGATAAGATTTAATACTTGGAGATAAAGAGATGGCAAGTTAATTCTTTAGCGTTTGGCTTTCAGGAGGTAGTGAGACAGTAATGATTTGAAATCGCACCCTGGCTTGTCAGCTCAAACTGCACTTAAACATTTACACATTGACAGCTTAAATGTTTGCTTAGGTGGTTACCCGGGTTGCAAACTTCATAACAACATAAACTACACATCGGGAGAAAAATTCAGCAACACACGCTTGCTTACCACAGAATGACTGAGTGATGGAAAGCGCGCAAAGGCAAAATCAACATCACAATGCGTGATGAATATTATAATTATTTGAATAATTCAGTAGGCTTGTTTGTTACTTTTCTTCAATCTTTTTCCTGCTGGGAGTCGTGATTAATCGCTTTTGCATTTCTAATGAAAAACTGATTTTCACCTTGACTTGAGGTGGAATGTATTGTGATTCATGCTCGTACGGGGCGGGCTCGATTTATTATTTGCCATTTGCTGCTTTTACGTATTGTACATGTTCTAATCTAAGTCAAACACTGTATTGGTCACGATCCAGATTTATACTCGATTACTTTTTGAGATGTTGAAATACGTGAAATAACTGTTTCAACTGCACAAACCTACCTGCTCTTCCACAAACACATTTCCCCTCAGTACAGTCTGCTTGTGTTGATTTTCACAACATATAAATACAAACTGATTCCAGCAAAAACCGAACTTTGTATGATTCCTTTTCTAATTAATTCATTTGAGGAATGGACATATCCACAGGTAACTGAAGGCCTGTTGTTGTGTGATTATCTCCTATTTTATCTGTGTGAGCATACGTGTGTGTGTGCAAAGGTTTACCTGTGTCAGCAGCAGCCTCAAGGCCTCTTCTGCTTCCTTGCTGAGCTCCTTCACCCCCCTCCTCTCCACTCCCTCCATCACCTGGAGCAGGTCAGGCTCCCGCAGCACTGGTGTCCCGCTGTCCTGCAGCAGCTGCAGAGAACACAAGCACAGATGCAGAAACACATGTACACGTACGCATGCACGATCCTGCACAGATGTACATTACTGTGCAGTAAAAAAAAACGCTGCTTTAAAAACCATTAACTTGATTATCATATTAAACCTCGGGGGCATCAGTGTCAACAAGTGCACTGGAGAGGCAGCAAAAAGACAACCTCCAATAGGTGGAGGTGGCCACAGGCTGTTCCTCTGTCTTTGTCCCTCCTGACTGCTTTTTTATTTTGTTCCGCTTTTGTAAAAATTAAGTCTTTCATAAATAATGCCATGAATATTTTTTTTAATTATCATTCAAACACACCAAATAAGTATTTGCATTAACTTTGCATTGAAAATAAGTTCTCCTCAGTACACATGACTGATTGGTTGGCTCGTAGTTTGGGACTTTTTCGGTTGCTTCTACCTTTCCATGTAATCCAATGATGTCTGGAAAAATGGGAGCAACACTGTTTCTTTTCCTTCTTAACAACCACTGTATGTTTAGGTTTGTGGACAGTGAATTTGAGACCAAGTGAAAACCAAGCTAAATATTTAAAGTGTTTAAACTTGTGTCACAGTGCTGCCTAACTCCATTAAATCTGCTTCCATTTGGTTTATTTGTGTTGGAAGGACAAAGTCACACACTGTCCCAGATTTTTCACAAAATGCTTTAAGTCAGACATTTTTAATGCAGCAGGAGGCTCACAGGGCTCCAGCTGACCAGTAGTAATCCCACAGTTCCAACCCCGAGCTGAATGAATAATAAATAAAGTGAGCTTACAGACATGGTAATGACTTTTCTTTTCTTTTGATTCGCTGTATTGTGTCAGGATGGACTGCACTGTATTCACTTTGATGTGATCTAAATGCTTCTTTGAATACTTCTGCTATCAAATATTTATTACTTGGATTTGTATTTGTGTGTGTGTTTGTAAAGCATCTTACAAGTATGATGAATCTGAGAATGGCAGGGTGCAGAAGGCAGCTCTGTCCTGAGCTGAGCAGGCTGTGGAGGAGGAATCGACTCCATGGCTGACACACCACATGCTTGGCTACCACACACACACACACACACACACACGCCTTACTTAGATCCACTCAGTTTTATTTTATTCTCTTTCTCATGGTGTATTTACTGGAACTAGATGAAGTCTGAAAATGTAAAAAGAACCCTACATCATCAAGACAAACCCGCTGTTGCTGCAGAGATATTGTCCAAATAAACAATGGCACGTAACCTTCACATAGTTTAAGTTACGAAGTAAAAAAAACCCAACTCAAGACTTGCTGTAAATTCACTTAGTTGCTTTCCACAGCTGTACTCACTGCTGTTTCTCAAATCTCCTTCAAATATATACATTTGCAGTTTTTCAATTCTTTCTCTGTGGACGTGTGCACATTATCCTCGCTCACTTCCTCTTTCCCCATCTCTCTGTTTGATACCTGTAGCGGGACTCTTTCTCTGAAGGAAGCCCAGCAGGGAGCTCAGACAGTTGACTGAGGCTCGCAACAGCAACTCGTGCTTCTGAGGAGAAAGAGACACATTGAGGTAAAACATGAGATTTGCAGAAGAAAAAAAAAGAAAAAGAAAAAATATCTCTCAGCTTTCAAATGTCAAATCGCTGCAAGCCAGGGAAAGAGCAGAATGTGAAACGTGTGCCTGTGTGCTCTCGCTCGGCAGAAATGGGCGCGATGGCAGCAACAGATGAATAGGGGGAAGAAACACAGATATCTGCTCTCCAACAGACGGAGATGCAGTCAGCAAAAGAAGGGGGGTAAGAAGGGAACACCAGGGAGAGTGACTGAGTGATGTTTTAATAATGCATGTCTCTCCCACAGTGTCAGGGCTTACACTGAGCACTATGTAGTGTCCAAAAATACTGAAGTAGGCCACGGAGATATATAGATGACAGTGGAAAGTTGCACTATAATCCATAAGCAGCGAGGAGCAGAAAGCTGAAGAAAGGAGTCAAGAGGATGAGCTGGAGTGAGCGCGAGGGAGCTGAAGTGTGCAGAGGTACGAGAACGCTTCGATGAGAAGAGGGCAAATGAGGACAGGAAGATAAAAGGAGAGGTTAAAATGAGAGCTAAGAACAAGCAAGGAGAAACGGAGAGCAGCGCAGAGTCGAAAAAAGTATGTGTGGGAGAGAGACTCTGGAGCTGCAGTGAGTCTGCTGCTGAATCGGAGCATCGAGAGGAAAGACAGCAAAAGGAGAGGAGGAGAGTGGGGAACTCATATCAGCTGCTGAACAGCAGACTACAGAGCACTGAACCATAGAAGTGAAACTCAGTTCAGCACTACAGCTTCTTACAGAGAGAGGAAATGCTGCTAGTGTGGAACCAGAGGCTGCTATACTGCAGCACAGAAGAAGAAAAAACAAGTACGGGCATGACACAGAAACCACCCAACAGTTCCACATATACAAGACAACAGAATAAAATTACTTTATTGACCACATTAGTTTTTGGATCATCAAGTCAATCGATTCAAATCAAGCACACTTTCATACATATAAACATATACCCATTCAATTCCATTCAAAATACATCACATCATCATATTCAGTATATTAATTGCTTTATGGCACAAATGATCCCTTATATACCTTTTTACTAGCTAGAGGCCTCCTATAACTCTCATCCTACAAGAAAAGCCCCCTGACAAAGAAATCATCTGCTACTCTTTTGGGTTAGTCATACTTTAGACCGTTTGTTTCACCACCAACATGTAATAACAATGTAGAGACGGACGTGATTGCACTGGATCCGTGTGCAGTGCCACTGTGCTAACTGTTAAATCAATCGGCATCTCATTTCCCCACACAACTGCGCTTGTGAAAGGCAGGTTCACTGTCATTATGTAAAGATTTTAAAGATTACCTTTGTGTTACTTCTGCTGTGGGATAAAGGGCAAGGGGAAGTGTGAAAGGAACGATGGGGGGGGGAGGGGGTTTCATAACATGAGCATTTAAGTTGTCATTCATATATTCTTTATTGTATCCGGCGATAGATCGACACCGTTAACGCATTTGTGAAACCATGTGCGTGCACACTGGTGTTCTTATTCCATTTGCTGCATATGTGCATGCGATTTATAGAAGGCGTGCAGCTTTCTCCAGTTTTTCATTATGTACCTCTTGCTCACAAAGCCACCATTAAAGACACAGTTTTACAATTAAATGTCCTAGACCAGCTAGCTTAGTAACAACTGAGACAGCACACTGGGTACTGCAGCGCTCAAGCTTTCATTATAACAGGGATTTACTGAACTAGCTTGTTATATTAATTCATAGCCTCCATGCAACGCTGCAGTGAAAGTCTTTCTCTTTCTCGCACACACACGCACACACACGCACACACACACACACACACACACACACACACACACACACACACACACATAAACATAATTACTACTTTTTCAACCATTACTTCAAATTTACCCTAAATGGAAACCTACCCTGAAATGTATGACTTACATCATCAAGAATTATCCAGACTCCAGAAGCGAGGCAGATTTACACCCACACAACATGAGTAATATAGTAATCTTTTACCACTGCAGATTTTACATGTGCTTCATCACACGTCCCCTGCACTATATGGGGCTTTTGTCATTTTCTCTAACTTGTGCCTTCTTGTCTCCTCTGCCTTCTTTCCCGCGACCTGAAAATCAATCTCGGTGTGCCATCATGAAGAATGTCTCAACACCTAAAATGAATCAGCAGGAGAAAGGAATGAGGAGAGGAGAAGCTTTGCTGGAGAAGTTATGATCCAGGATATGACATGTGTGTCCTTTGTGGACATTTGTTTATGCTCGATGCACGGAGGTGTGACAGGCAGCAGGAACACGGAGGAGGAGGATTCCACAGATAAGTACACCTTCATGCTAAACTACGTGAAAAAAAAGTCTGGCATCTGCACGTTACTGACACACTGAGCTGGTCTGTGCACGAAGGAAAGATGGAGGAAATAATGTGCAAGGAGGTTTAGTAAGGAAAGGAAACAAGGATGTACAAGGCAAGCAATAAGAAGGGGGCCGGTGTTGGTCTCTTGTTATCACTGATTACAACAGATGATAACAGCCTTTAGAGCGTGCCAGCAGGTAGGGGAGGGTAACTGCCTAAAGGCAATATGCATGAACCTGATAATAGCCATTCAGCAGGCTGATAACAGGCAAACTGGATGTACAGACAGACAGAGGACAGCTTATAACAGGCAGATATTATTCAATCCCTGCAATCAAGCAAGATGGCATACGACATGTTTTCCCAGTTGATTTAAAATGCAGAATATAATCCATGGAGTCAAACCCAGGAGAAAGCCACGACTCCAAACCGCTGAGCCACAAGGGACCGTGATACAGAAGACATAGGTAATATATCTAACTATATAGTGAAAGTTTTAAAGTAGTAGAAAGCTGTTAATTCTGGAAACTGATTGAATTACTTCCATCAAGAAGGCTATGTGATTGGCTTGGTTTGGTCTGTTTGTTTGTCTCTTTGTTGTCTCGCAAAAAGTTGCAACACATTTGCAGCCAAATTTTACCACACCACCTTTAGGCTAAAGGGATTAAAATGATTTACACTCTGGATCCAGATCCAGGAATTTTGGGAGGAATTCTTTAACAATGGCAAAATTAAACGTTTGGCCAAAAACCTGTGAATCACCGTCGTAATGTTCTCAAGAAAATGTTACAAACTGAACCAGATCCAGATAGCTTTTTGTACCCATACACTCAAATCACCATATCAATACACACATACTCATACTCAAACATGCTAATACCTGCAGAAGGAGTCCACTGAGAGCAATTGAGAGGCACTGCGCCCCTCTGGAGCCAAGTGGGTACAAAGCACCGTCTTCAACCCCAAGAGGTCTGAGCCCAACCAAGCCAGGACCAGAAGTCAGACACACAACTTCCGATGCCAGGTCAGTATCAAGCAGAACCTGCAGCAGCCTCAGGTAGCTGACTGGGAACAGGAAGATAGAGGAAAATTGTAAATGTCTGAAAAAGCAGAGCAAATAAGGAGAATGATGGAATGTCTAAGCAAAGGAGGGTGAAAGAAAGAGAGAAGGAAAATAAATGTGGAAGGCAAGGCCACAGAAGAAAGAGATCCACAGCACAACAGAAAGCAGCGAGTGTGTGAGTAAAAACTGAAAAAGATGGTAACAATCATGGAGCAGAGGGTGCAGGAGTACAGCTGAAAGGAACTGAGAGCAATTTTTTTATAAGAGACATGTGAGAGAAAGAGAGGGCAAGAAGTTAAAGATGTCAGTGCCAAGTACAAAAGAGAGAGAGTGCGAGGCAGAACGAAGTGAAGGAAGCTGAAGGAAGTTCAGCGAGACCCAAGTAGTGATAGAGAAAAAGCAAACAACAGGGGTAAAAAGAATCCAAACTTAGTGCTGCCAGCCATCTGAATCGCACTTAATGCCATGTACACTGAGATTAGAGCCCTCTGAGGGAGAGAGGACTCAATTAGTGGCAGAAGTAAAGAGGGAGGAGAGACAGGGCAAAGAGATAGAGAGAAACGGGAAGAGTTGGAAATATACGGGCAGGCTGGGAAGAAGCATAGTCGAGATAAAAATTGAGAGAAAGACACAGAAAGGACGCTGAGTGACTAGAAAGAGAGAGAGAGAGGCAGAGGGAGGGAGCCAATACATCACAGCAACTCTGACAGGCCACTTATCCAGCTGACAGACAGAGATGCAGGAGCAGCAGGGATGATCTGTCTCCCAGTGCAGCAGTGGGATTGGGGCCACTTAATATAATGAAAGTGTGTGAAATGCATGGTTTGGTTAGCTCCACTGAGGATAACACATTGACTTTACGTATGTACATGTAAACCAAGCAAAGGTGGACCCCATTAGTACCCTCTGGTTTGCACAGTATATGGACAGATGTTACATTAATCAGGGATGCCTAATGTACTCATATGAACACAGGTATCTTGGTCTTACGGACCCCCTGATGTTTCCATAATTGCGTTGGACAGGGAGAAACCGAGTAGCACAAAATTCTGGAACAGATGACTCAAGAGACAAATCTGGAAGAATAAAAGCAAATTGAGGAAAATAGAAAAACACCAGCCAACCACAAATGCAGAATTTTCAGCCAAGTTTCTTTTGTATTCTTGGGTCACACACTGTTGCTATAATTTCAGCGCTAATGAACTGCTTTGCCATCGGCTGTCTGCATGGGATGAAGACATAAAAACAATCGAACAGTAAAATTTGGTGTCTCTTACTCAGCAGGAGACTGTCTGTGTTTCTCTTCTGAGTAAGGAGTCGCTGCACAGCTGTGTCCAGACTCCAAGTGATGCTCTTACGGACCTTAAATAATAGAAAATGAGAGAGAGAGGGGAGGAATCAGGAATATAACAAGATTAGGACTGAAATCTTTGTGAGTTAAAATGCATTATTATCCCTGCAGTGCCGGCTGAAAGCAAAGAAGAAAGTGTGTTATTTTGTACCACGGCCTCACTGAGATATGCATCAAGCAAATCCAATTTCTGTTTTGCATTCTGCGCCTATATCTCAATCTATACCCTACTTTACATTATGCTGTGTCTTGCCCTTGACTGTATGAAGTTGTATCGTGAAGTTGTGATAAGAGCTGAGCTGAGCTGTTGTGTGTACCTGAGTGGAGTGAACACGCTGCAAGGTAATGAGGGAGGACAGGAGTAGATGGCAGCAGCACAGCAGGGCCAAAGGAGGACAGGCTGATGGAGAGAGGGATGTGGCAGAGGAAGAGGAGGAGGAGGAGGAGGAGGAGGAGAAGACTGTCTGCAGCTGGTCCATCAGCCCGCTGTTAGAGAGCAGCATGGAGACAGCTGGGAAAGAAAAGGAACAGTGTCATCACACTTTAATGGGACGTGTGCTTCTGTTTCACTGCGCTGTACGTGGGTTTTGATAGCAGCTGGTCCTCATGACTGCAGAGTGACGTGCTGCAGCAACAGACCCACAACAATGCAAACACCTGTGAGGTCTTTGTAACATTACTAAGTGAAAAATATGTTAAACTATACTGTTCTCTATTCATAAACACTGATATTGCTGTTTTACCATATACATGTGGGCAGGCTAATTGAACTTTAATCCGAATTTTGTCTTCCCATAATTAAATGAGCATGATCGAGCGATGCTGAAAAAGCGCACTTCGCCAATAGAATGCAAAGCAAAATTAAGCGCTCCCTAAATCACTGCCTGACCACGTGCCTGCATGTGCCAGTTTCCTGGAATACTTTGGGCGAGTAACACTACACCAAAAGATACACATGAATA